AGATTAGGGGACTAGTAGCGCGGTGACTAGAAGTGTCCAGCAATATACACCTTGTCGCTGGGTCGATCCAATGGCCAGGACTAGCAAAACCTATCCTTCTGGGTGCGACAAATTAGCATCAGATTTCTCTACAACGATGAAAACGCTGACTTGGTAAATTCACTAAATCACCTCTGTAGATCTATGAATACAATCGAATGCATAGCGGCTGTCTAAGTGATCGATGAACTCCAAACTTTTATTCTTGATATTCTTATAAACCAGAGGGTTAACGAGTGATGAAAGTATGAATCGAATAGCTTCAAGTAAAGACAATATCAGTTGTTGACAATTCAAAAGGCTCGTTCACTACCATAACATCATGCCGCTAGCATATTCTACGTAGCTTAAGCAAAATAAAATCAAATATGATTTAAGATTAGGGTTTCCCATTTGCAACACAGACATACTTTTTATGATTCAAGAGTCTTTTCGTTTAAACGGCGGCTAAGTTATAAATGAAAAGCTAAAAAGTCACTTTACAATTACACTAACATTTTTCTAACTCGACTCGCACGGTATTTTATCAAAATGTAGTCTAAAAATCAAAAAGGAGCGAATGGCTCATATGGAACGCCTAACACATCTTTCTTTTTTTATGTCACCACGCCGCACCTTCATATGACAACTGCTCTGTGTACGAGTTTCTCTGCTTCAAACAGTCACCTCTTTTCTTATAGACGATGTCACACTTTTTCCCAGTTTTCACTCTGCCTTGCTTTCAGTCTTGGTTCCTTATGTCTAATTATTAATAAATACGCGATATGAATTGAATAGCTTTAAGTAAAGACAATATAAGTTGTTGAAATATATAAATCCCACAAGAATTGGGTAGAGGCGACACTTGCGAGTCATATATGAGTCACACTGTCATGAATTTGTCAGCTTGTCAAACGACAGGGAATTTTTTAGGTTCCACAAAGAGCTTTCTGATTTGTTTATTTATTTTCTTGATTTGCTCAGAACAGACACTGAAGACCTTTAAAAATCTAGTAGTCCTACAATCAACAATCGGCTGTGATATTCTCATCATGGAACCAGTTTATTCTAATTCGAATCATATTCTCATCCTGAAACTTGGGCGATAATTGATAATTCTCATTGATAATTGTGGTCTTGTAAGAAACCTAATCAACGAGATGGTAAACCCTCCTCTTCAATCCAGAACCGTCGTCGCGATGGCTTACGGTATTGCCGACTTCAGCACGCAATTACACAAGTTTCTCAACATTCCATCAAAGAATTTTTACGAAACCAGTAATCCATCGTTTTTTAATAAGAAGAATGCTAATTGTGATGGCGTCCGAGCGATTGAAGAAGAATCATCTTCTGTAAACGAGTCGCTCAAGTGTTGAACAAACAGGTATTCAGAAACTTGTCGTAATTTTCTTGGCCAATCGTCGTTTGCGCTAAGAGTTATACACTTTGGAAACTCCTCAAATAAAGTTTTAATTTGTTATTGTCTTGATTTTAACGAATTCATTCAGTTGAAACACAAATAAATTTAAATGGTGTGCTGAAATAGCCATTCTCGGGAAATGCAAGGTTCTCACCACAGGAGCTGACCGCCTTTTTCGGCTCAGAAGGCGGCTCTTTCTAAACAAATCTGCCACAAATTCCCTGATCTTAAAGGGATAAGAGGCTTGGTTTTCTCTCTGTGGATTCAGTCAGGCCTGATGGGTATTGAACGGCCTCTCTATCACCAGCAACAAAGAGTGATGAGGAGAGAGAGGAAACGAAGGAGACGATTAAATGGCGTGACTAACTGAATAGCCCTCGGAGAATATAAAATATTTGTAAATTAAAGTTTTTAAAAGCACTTTACTTGTTTTTTATGATCTCCGTCATAATCCTTTTCAAATTGGATGCAGCTGACGAAGCAAAAAAAATCATTGGTGCTAAGCATTGATAGTTAATAATTTTATGATTAAAGAATGGAACTTATTATTAATTTTTCCTAAGACGATAGATCTCAATAAAACCAATAAATTGGCGAAAACTTGTTTCACCGAGAATGCGGCAACTTTCAGTGAACTATGGACTGGTGCATTACCATGTATGGCTACCCCATGAATACTTTGCAGTCTTTGATCTGTGGTTCATCTTAAAAATTCTTTTTTCCTTATTTTTTCGGTCTTTTATCTTTGTTGCACCCGTTTCTATTTATTGTTTCTTTTCCTTTCTTTCAACCATGTTTTTACTCCATCGATGCTATCAACAATCATCCATCAACGAAGGTGATCTGGAGGGCTTTTGCTAAAGGAAATCGCGGAATCGAAGCCTAACTGTTGTTCCCAGTTTTACTCAAATTTCATTCTTCTTGTTATTGTATTTAACGTAATCGATACATGGTGGACTTTTACGTTGATAACTTCGACGAAAAACGTTTGAATTCAACGAGTTTGAAATTCCTCTCGTAATGAATGAACAGCGACCAGAAACCAATAGGGAGCATGCAATTCTTCATATCAACACGCCCCTTACCCTTTCAGCAGAAGAAAAAACCGCTGTAATACAACATTTTTATAGTGATTGGACTTCTCTTTACACTAGTTAGATTATATATATATATATATATATATATATNTTCTTCATATCAACACGCCCCTTACCCTTTCAGCAGAAGAAAAAACCGCTGTAATACAACATTTTTATAGTGATTGGACTTCTCTTTACACTAGTTAGATTATATATATATATATATATATATATGTATCCAGATTATGTATACATATCCCTTTGGCGTCGGAAAATTGCTACCAGACATGTCTGGGAGGATAGTAGCACTGGCTCGATACAACGGTAGGCCACCGCGAGTCATTGTAAAGGCCAGAAATGCATTCAATCACCTCCAAACGATGCTTATTGAAGTTCGAATGCATGGCACACCCCTCAGGGATTGATCAACGTCGAGAGCTCTATCCTTTTATATACGTATATATATGTATATATGTATATATCCATTACCTTCTGTTGTTTCCTATTGTGAGAGAAAAATTTGCTATTTCAATCGTTGAACCCATCTTGAAGTAGACTAGAGTCATCAAAGCTGAGACTAAGTTCACTATTATTTCCATGTGGGAACCCGGCTAAGAATGAGCCAAAGCCACTCAAACTTAGAATGAGTTCGCTTTTGCTATCCTGAAACTCAACATGGAGTGAACTAGAGTCATCGAAGCTCGAATTTGGTTCACTATCCTTTCCGCGCGAGAATTAAGCTAAGAGTAAGCTAAAACAACAACAAATTTTCGTCCATTATTTTCGGCAGACAGATGAGGTGAACTCAGATGGGACTTATTTTGGGGTGTGTCAGTCGAATCAGTGAAGCTATTAAGTTTTCTTTCTTCAAGAAAAAGTCTACTATTCGTACAAACAGTCCATTTCTAACAGCTCAACTTTCTTCTTGAACTAATTGGTAAGTCATAGGCTATTAATTGTTCCAGAACAACTCCGCTTTTTATGAAGTTATTTTGACTACGAACAATTATTTGTCATAAATCGTGAACTTTTGCAGTCTTATGATAATTTTACTAAAATATCAGCACGATAGTTCCTCATCAGAAGAACTTTTCGAAAAGGAACTCATTCTTTATCTTCTTACCAGAAATTGTTTTCAAATATTTTTTCATACTCATGAGCTTGTAAGGAGTTGTTGCAAAGATTTTTATTCTTTCAATGTTTTGTAACAGTTCCCAGGATAGACTTTCTATTAGCCTCGGCATTGGAATACGAATGGATGGTTTTCTTGTTCAGCAGCCGTGAGGTCGTTAAGCAGCATACATTTACTTCCACAGAAAAGCACACAATACAATACAACAGTAGCTGACGTTTCGGCAGTGTCGCCTTCTTCAAAGCCACATTCCTTCAGAGCAAAAGAGCAAAAAGAAACAAGAAGACGACGCATTCAATGTTTTATCTCTGGTTTTCAATGGTCAGTTTTGTTCCCTGTTTTTCTTCCTTCTGTCTATGGTTTTCCTATTTGTGGGGTGACGTACCATCACCTTTGATTTTACAATTTTCGAAACCGATCGATTGCCTTCAAACAATGTTGTTTACCTAAACCGACATCAGACGAGGCATAAGGTTTTGTTCTGCGGTGAAAATTCCTTTTCGATCTTTTTCTGCCTCTTTCACTCATTTGCGATATCGTTTCAATATTTCCTTCCAATTATCCTCATCATTCATCGACTTATTATGAAATAGAACTCGTTTCAAGCATTGCGGCTGAACGTCGGCAATAATTCCTGTCCTGATTTGGGTTCCGGGTTTGATGTCATGAGCGTTGATGATTATCACTCAGGTTATAGTTTATTCTGTTTTATCTAAAAGAGAAACATAGGTCTTCTACGTTTGAAGAGATCTACTCATTTTCACCTTTCTTCACCAATTCCTCTAGCTTTGAAGTATAATGATTTATAGGACAGGAGAACAGATGCACTATCATTTAAAGAATTCATCATTCATTTCATATTTTAATGTACCCCTGATCTTCTTGCACGATTATCGTTTTCCTGCGTTACAATGATTTCCCACACCCTCTTTGATGAAAAGCATCAGCTGTCTTCATTCGTTTAATACATGGTGGTGAATATCCTTACATCAAAACCACTATTGCGTCTGCGACACTTTTGTAGAAAGTGTCGATTGTCCTGACAGGTTTTCCACGTGCCACATCATTTTTTTCGTTATCATTCAAATACATTTCTATGAGAGGCGTGGTGTGGCATGGCGCATTCCTGTCACACCTCTGAGCTGGATGAAGAGGGCGGAAGAGTCGTGTGAACTTTTCGCCCTTGTCGTTCCCATCCTTGTTATCGTCGTAGCTGTCGTCGTGGCCGTCGTCGTCGTTGTGTTGACGTTTTCGATGTCGTTTTCCATTACCATAAATACACGCCCATTATTCTTTACCATAATCATCATTCGTTCATGTTTCTATTACAGAGTAGCACTGGCCACATAACATGACATTGCCAGTGTTCGCAAAAAAAGTGAAGAAGTTAGCCTCATTTCAATTGTTCAACCTGAAACTTCTACTAAACGGTGAATCAAGTGAGTTTTGATTTCTGTATACAGCTCTTTATGGTATAAACTACTTTATTTTACGGTACCCTCAATGAGTTGTGGATTATTCAGCATTTTTCCCATGCACTGTTTCAAACAAACGTTTGCTTTCGATCAGTTCTGAGATAATATTCGGCTAATAGCGCTCCGTTTCATTTACACTGGAACGGCAATGTGAATAACTGCCTGTTTAGGCCGTGGCTTTAATAAATTTAAAAAGCACTACAAGCTCAAAGGAGAACTCGGACGCGGCGGCTTTGGTATAGTCTATCGTGCTGTTCGCATATCGGACGAATTACCCGTTGCGGTAAAATTTATCGATCGACGTACCGTACGGGAATGGGGAAAGGTAGGGTTCGTTTTAGAAAAATTTCCTTTATGAATTAAATAATAATTACACAGGTGAACAAGCTGTACGAGTTTCAGATCAACGACGAACACTTGCCGATGGAGATTTGTATGCTAGCAAGGTGTTCAAAGATTAGAGGTTAGTTAAATTTCGTTTCTTGTTTTAGCGTATTCTTCTTCCGTTATCTTATCCATTCATATCAGCGATCCTTGGCGCTTTTCACAATTTTTCTCGTTTTTCTTCCAGATGAGAATTCCTTATATAGTCACTTCCTTTTTGCTTTGTTTTTCCTGAAAACCCCTGTTATGACACAAATAATTTCTGGATTTTCCGAACAACTGCCACTACTCAAATGCTTATTCGTTCTTTATTCATTTAAAAGGAATATTCCTGTATTGTATTCTAATGTATTCCTTTTTTAACATCATGGTTCGCTACTAGTTGGAATTCGATCATTACTCTTCTTGACTTTGGAAGAATTAAAGTCTTAAACTCGTGAGGAAATTGGCCTTCGTCAAAATGAATACTTCGTAAAGTTCGAAATTTATTTTGAAAAAATAGAAAGAAGATTCTGTTAGCAGTAAAAATAAGTCAGAACTGGGGTGGAGGGATGGGTGTGCAGTGTATGGAATGGGATCTGAGTAGTACAAGACACAACTTATGTGAAATGCATGATATCAGTGAAAACAGCTAAAGTTATAACTCTATTGAGGAAGAAATCACAAACAATAAGCTTTCTGGTGCTGATGCACTTCATGGACGGGTAACTAGAACACTCATCTACACTAACAGAAAGACCGGATCTTTAGGTGTGATTCGATTAATCGATTGGTACAGTATCCCTGAGGGATACCTAATCGTCATGGAGCGACCGTATCCGTCCGTAGATATGTTCGATTTCATTAAAGGACAACAACATCTTGACGAAGAGGTATGTCAGAGTTCTAAATAAGATCATTTCATTAAACTATTCCACCGTACGGTTCTATACTGCTATGCCATCGAAATGTGTTAATGTTGTCATTATCGAATTGTGAATAGAACCAGTTACTAGTAGTGATACCGTCACACAACCTCAAACCTCTTCTCCTTTCTTAACGACTCAAAATTATTGAGGAAATTGGAGATTGGAATGGGGAATTCTGATGGACGAAATTCTCTTGAACCCAGCGGAGTGTGTTATACGGCGCACTCTCGAACGCCACTGGGAAGCGAGAAAGCAGACTTTTCCGCTGTTTTCTATAAAGGAGCTGCCTTCTTTGTCTATCGTTAGACCACACCGAATTCTTAACGAATTTTGACAATGAAATAACTTTTCTTTGATTTAGAAACGATTGTTTAACTTTTTTTCCTTTCATCAATGAGCTCACAAATGTAAGGAAAGTGGGATCACATTGTTTTTGCCTTTTTCTTGCGTGTCCTTCTTGCACAGTCTTTAAACTCTTTTTTTCAGATGACTCGATTTTTATTCAAGCAAATCGTCCAGACGCTACATGATTGTCATCAAAAACGCGTACTACATCGTGACTTAAAGGTGAGAATCATAATTTTTATGATGAGATGCATACAGTAACTTGTTTTGACGTCATACCTCATTTAATAACGTTGCAAACCTATCTGTATTTCAATGACATCATCTTTCACTACTTCAAAGTGAATCTAGCAAGCTAAAAAACGTTCTAGGAAATAACCGGTCTTGCATTTTATTTCACAGCATATGAATTAACCTGTGATGTTTGTCGAATATTCCGAATCTTCTGACATAGACTGACATTCTGACACCTCTCACAGTTGAGACTATGGACAAAGACGATTTGAGGGAGAAAACTAGTCCATATGTGGCCAAAATCGTCTTAGTACTATGTTCATATTGCATGCAGGATAATTTTAAGCACTATGAAAACCTAACTATGAAACCATAATCAGCTGCTTGAATGCAGATTAAACTGACTTGGCAACTTACTGATAGGTTAATTCATAGATGAGAGCCATATGACGAAACAAATAGAAACATTTAACTTTTGGGAGAAAAATGGTGAAACTGTGAATTTTGGTTCCTATAGAAATCAACAGAAAAAACCTTATAACTGCGTTTAACCTTAGGATACTGAAAACCCGTGCACAGAATCAAAAGTGCTGAGAAAAATTATTCACCAACGCATACTGGTCACACCTCAATTGTACTTTGTTGCTTTCAAGGACGAGAACATCGTTATCGATCTTGTCACCGGTGAAACTAAACTGATAGACTTCGGAGCCGCTACTATACTTAAGAAGTCACATTACACTGATTTTCAAGGTGATTTTTTATAATCGTTCCGAAAATTGTTTTATATTTGCGGAGCATGCGTGAGAAATCTCGCAGACTGAGTTGTATCGATATATGTCCAATATCCAGATTCAAGTATTACGAGGTTTCGAGAAATTTCAGGGTTGTGAAGCCCTGCCTCCGCATTATGAGATTGGATGTTTGCTTTGGCCTATAAATAAGAATTGCTATTTCTTGTATAAAAGAGTTTTATGCATTGAAATCAATCTGTATATGCGTGTAACCTTATGTCTTCCACTTGAGAAGGGGCATCACGCAACTGCGCGACTGATCCACCCAGGCTTTATTATACAGTGGGAAAATTCCGGGAAAGAAATGGTTATAGAAAGGATTAGGAACGGTTTTATTCAAATCCTCAGCGGAATGTCACAAATCCATCCAGCCTCATAGAAGTGAACGAATTCATATTTACCCACATAGAATGACTTGAAGAGGTATGCCGTCGTATCAAATCATTGTTTTTCTTCCCCATGAGCAGTACGGCACCAATTTGTTGAAGCTGCAGGTGCAAAAGTCTTTCCTTGATCGGCCAGCAGGACTGAACCATGTGTGTACTGCAGTGCACCTCCAACCACTGCACTGCACGCTCCCCTATTGTTTACATAACAATAGCAATAAAGGTGTTTATAACAGTAATAATAAATACTAACGATAATAATAATAATGATTTTCGAACGGCTTTATCGGTTTTAGATTTTAGTGATGTGTGCAAATTTTTCATATTCCTAGCATGGCACATTTGACGCTTTGTTAAACTCACTTACTTAAACATGAGTGTCTATAGAGGAGCAAAGTGCGGAAATCGATGATTGCCGATTATTCGATATGGCTAAATACAGCTATCAATAATACTGGGTTACTAACCAAAAAAATTGTATGTGATAAGAAAACATTTAGACAACCTGATGTGCTTTTTTTTCTTCCTATCATCATATTTCTGGCTTGTTGTCAAGTTAAATAAGGATAAAGCGCTGATCAATCCATGAGGGATCGCCATGAATTCGAGTTCATCAAGCATGGTTAAAAGTGGTCGAATGTATATTTGGTCTGAACAATAACTCAAGATGGCCTACCAATGGATCGGATCAACATTGCTAACCTCCCAGATAGGTTTGGCACCAATTTGCCGACCTCAGAGGGATGGAGGGTTTGGTGAGCTTTGAGCGTTCGGATCGATTCCATGTATATTGCTAGGCCTCTCTAACCATTGTCCTGCCAGCACTCCTTGGTAGCATATTACGCATTTTAACGTACTAAAGTTTTTTTCTAAACGTTCATCACCTTTAAGCCATTCATAGTTAGTCTATGATCGACCAATGAGCAGCATTACTTCATATGTGCACTTTGTAGTTAAGTGCTTTCTACAGTATCTACTCGATTTTTAGGTGTCACTATTTTCACCCAAGTAAGAATTTTGCTTATCTTTACTTAAAAAAGAACGAATTTGCTTAAGCAAAAATTGAAAGCGACTTATTGCCTGTTTTATTTTCTTTCTTTTTCCTGAACAATAAGCACTGTTGTCCTCATTAAGCATACGGTGACAATTACAGGTACTCGTCTGTACTGTCCACCGGAGTGGTTTTTGCACTCATTATACTTAGGACGTGAAGCAGCCGTATGGTCTCTGGGTGTACTACTATACAACGCCTTAAACGGACGACTACCGTTCAAAAACGAAAAAGACATTTGTACTGCTCACCTCCTTGGTCCACTACCTTTCTACACTCCCGTATCCGCAGGTAAACTACACAATTTCGGCGATTTTCATTGTCTTCCTCTTTTCGTGAGATCTAATGATATCGAAAAATCTTCTCGTAATGAAACACATGTGGAACAATGGTTAAAGGTGTTGTGCGGCGCACAAAGTCCTTGGTTCAATCTTGCGTTCTGCACTAACAAGGCTCTCGGGGGTCCTGTCGGGGTTGGCAAAGTGGTATCATGGTTGGATGGTTAACAACATTAAATTACTGCATCGTACCAGATAACTCATTTTATAGGCGAAGCATAGATTCATTCATCTATACGAGACTTAATGGTGTTCAATCTTTGACACATTCTAAAGAGATAGAAGAACACCAAACGCACTCTTCCTTCTACATTTTCATTCTAGGAGCGTATAGAATGGAGTCCTTGACTGGTTTCGTTACTGAAGGCGTAATTGGAAGAACTGAAATCTACCTACCTAACATTTTCAGATGGTATGAAAAACGCTGTGAAACACGCTGAACTTTAGACGATCTTGGAAGCTACTATTGATAACGACATTATTTACTATTGCGATAGTTTATGGAAGCCATTAGAGCTAATAGAGGGGCTTCATCGTAATACATTGTGTCAGAATTTTACGACAACCAAAAACCCACGTTGCCGAATCAATGAAGATCAAGGTTATCAACTAGTCAGTCAGGATTTCCTCTGCTTTCGGTGATAACGGCTGTTCGATCGATTCAACTGTCATCGTTTTCCTTCACTGAGATAGTCTACATGTTCGACAGATATCTAGTTCTGTCGACAAATTTTTTTTCAGAAAGACTAGGCCAGCTATGGAACTTGTTTGAATGATGTTTTATGAAGGTTACACTTGATACTCAGAACATCTTTTTCATTCATCCATAGAAGCAATATAGAACTTGGTGTTGATTAGTACGTTTGTATTGCACCACGCATTCGTTTCCATTCGTAGAATCATAGAGGTGATTTGTTGCACACTTGGATCACGGGGTGAATTGCGCAGCCTACCGCTGCAGGATCGATTATCCATTGAGGAACAAATCATAACCAACAGGTAATCAGTATCCCCAACAACCGTCCTATGATAAAGCATCGCCGAGTCGCCGACTTTATTTGAGCTATGCTCACTGAAAAGGATTCAACTTGATACGAAGACGAAGACGCAGATCGCGAGGACGAACGACTGCCGACTATCGACGCGGATCATCGGCTCTGAAGAATAAGAAGACGTGGAACTTTAACCGAACAAATGCTTGGTAACAGCCTCGTGTTAGATTATCAATCAAAGACAGTACACTGATTATGAAATCGGTGTTTCTATTCTCTGAAACAAATCTGGTACCAATAAGCTGATACCAGAGAGATGGAGAAATTTGTTTGTTCGGGCATAGGATCGAAACAACGATCCTGCGTGTCTTGCACGACACCGCTAACCACCGTGCTACAAACGCTGCTGTTCATGTGTAAATAAGCTAGCAAAGTGAGTGACTCAAATAGTGGCGTTAAATAGTTCCAAAATATCTATTTCCTAATTGTTTCTTCAAATTTTCATCATTTTCAGAAGCAAAAGATCTCATTGCTAAATGCTTGGCGTTTGACCCGTTTTCAAGATGTTCGATTGAAGAAATTCTCCGGCATCCATGGTTTGCACAGCACAGTTTTGATTGGTTGGCGATTAGCGCGGCGAGTGAAAAGCATCTGCATGAAAATCCAGCGAATGAGGATGAACGTGGTGAGTGGTTGTCAGAAAATAAACTCGGAAAGTACAGTTATCGAATTTAATGCATTTAAAGAACATAGTGAAGAACTGGAAGAGATCGTCGAAGAGGCAGAGAACAGTCGGAAAGATGATAACGATGAAGACGATATCAATTCTAGCGAAGGTGAATCTGGTGTAGGCTCATTGGCGTCTACTTCGTTAGCTAAAACGGTTTGTTTGTTACGTTTGGGACAAAGCTTCGATCTTTTTAAAAGTGAAATACACCATCCAACATTTTACGAGATGGATTCATTTTAGTATCAACAAGACACACTGTCAACGTCGGCACCTCGTTTCTCGAAGACATCACTACTTGCCCCTCCAACAACTGACGACCTAAAAGCCGTTGTGAATGCTGTTAAAACGAAATCTGGCTACCATGGTGACAGTAGTAATCGGATACGACCTTCAAGAAGACGACCTAAAGCTGCTGATTCAGCTGTATTGACGGCTCTACGTCGTGCAATGAATCGAGATCGACAAATACAATGCGAATGATCTCTTTATTAAGAGATATCGTGTTCAAATCAATGTTCCACAACTCAGTATGGTTAAGCCTTATCCTGACTGTGAGACGGCAGGTTATGGTTGTGAGTATCATAAAACTCCTACCGTCATCTACAAAAATTTAGGGTTTTTTATTCGTAGATATTGTTGTCTAATGTGACCCGCGACTTATATAGTCGTCAGTTTTTTATGTACAGTTACTTAATCAGCATTCCTTTTTTTTGGTTTTCCATTTAATGAAAGGAAAATCGCACACGTATTGCAAGCGACTCGATCAATGTCGTCCATGGTCGCCTATGACCGTTGTCGTCACGTTTTTCTTTCTGGGTTTAGTCAAACACTTTCCATGAGGCGCTTTACACATATCATTTTGTTGTTTATAAATACCATTTATGTGTTGTTTGTTGGCGTCCCTGTTGTGTTTACTGTGGTCTAGGGTGTAGGTCCTACAACGAACTGAATTCGATGTTTGTGGTGTTGACTTCTGAACATGTTGTTCTTTTATCCTATGTATAAACTCTTTTTAGGTTTAGTGCTATGCTGTTTTCTCTTCTTGTTTTTTTTCCTAGGTACATATTTTTCTGCAGCCAATTCATACTATAGAAACGGAACAGAAAAGATTGAACCTGAAGATCCTAGTTCGTGCAAAATAAAACTAGTTACTATTCTTGGTTTGGAAACCTCTTTGAGTGTAAATATCACGCGCTCATACCTAACTGGATCGTTAACTAATTCGATCAGCAAGAATTACGTAGCGTTTCGTAAACGATCAGGTGATTTATACAAAACAACATTATAGACGCTCGATCACTTTAGTGATTCTCATTGTTGAACTACGCTGTACAGCGCTAATCCATTCTCAGAAGAGTTTTAAGAGCTTAAAAGCCACATATGCCTACTTAGTGACCAAACTAAAGAGTCGTTGTGTTATATCGTTTTGGAGTGGTCGGTCGACTAATCGCGGCGTTTCAAGCAGCTACAGGAATCGCAACGATCCCGGAGGAAACTGAATAACAAGGTAGCAATCCTCTTCCTCCAATCTGTTTCATATTACTGAACAGTTTCTTATCTCACGCTTCTAATATTATATTACCGTCTTCTAGAATATGCTCTGTAAAGCCTTTTGGAGATGACTATAACGAAGGTCTTGTAAATGATGGACAGCATGAATATTGGTTGATAGTCAGCGAGATTACACAGATCTCTCGTCTTTAACAGCAATCCAGCTCTGTTGGTTTTTAATAGGTATCTTCAGTTCTGAAAACTTACGAACAAAGAGCTATGTCAATGTGGTAGAAGACCTCGCATTTGGCTCTATAGGACAAGGCACTGTGTAGGTCCTTACTCTTAAAAAGGCATTTCTAATCCTTCGGAAGGAGAAGTAGCTGATATAACATATCAGACTCCATCGGTATGACATGGTGTAAAAGACGAGGGTAAAAATAAAATGATAAAACTCTCGGCGTTGATCATTCCCTGGGGTATGCACCATACATTCGACTTCATTAAGCATCTTTTGGAGGTGATTGAATGCATATTTGGCCATTACAGTGACTTGCGGTGGCCTACCGTTGTATCGAGCCAGTGCTGCTATCCTCCCAGACACTTCTGGCACCAATTTGCCGACCCAGGAAAGATGGAAGACTTGGTGGGGATCGAGATCGAGATCAGGAGATCGACCATGGACGCGGGGATCGATTCCACGTGTGTGTTGCAGGGCGCCTCTAACCGCTGAGCCACACGCGCCCTTAGAGACGAGGGTACTGAAGAGTAATTCTGAATGCAATTACTGTTCTGACCGAACCTTAGATCCCGAAGCATTTAAGATCTTATTTTCGATCTATGCAGCCTCAGGCTGTTCTCATCTTATATTGACTCCTCTCTCAAGCCTTTATAGACTCGAATTTAGGATGACAGTTACCTGCGGCTGGTGCCGCTTCTCCTTGCTACGGCTTCAGGCTTGTGCGTGGGTAATCACAACTGTCGAAGCATACAATAATACGTTTTTATAAACTTTACACGTTTGATTAGCCACTGCTGGCACGATGGATTGCTTAAATAAAAGCTTCATAGAAATACAAGTGCACGGAAAAAAATGTACTCCTCAAAAAAAGAGTGATTGATGTGACAACATTTATCTGTTTAAAAAGAAATCGGGCATTTGCTACTCTGATTGACTGCACTTAAAAACGCGTTCTAAAAAGTTATGGCGGACTAGAAGAATTAGCGCTGGTGCTGCTGTTGAATACAACATACGTGACCCTCCTGGCGAAAAAAGGCTCATTACACTTTCCGTCTTTGAAAAACAGCAAAGAGGTACCGTATGCTTGACGGTGATGCATTTTTAAGCTTTTTTGTCAGCCTCAACACACTGTTCCTAGATGTACAAATGATCAGTGTGGAAGTTCACGTTGTATCACTGGCACTCAAAATGAAGAGCTGAAAAGCCCAGGAGCTCAGGAACGTTCTCGGAAAGAAATCTTTAAATGCAGAAGCTAAACTTCTTACCAGAAATAATAATGAAAAGACAGTATTTCAACAAAATGGTACCCTCGATGTCCTTCGCTCGGGGAGGCAGAAATGGCGAAAGCCTTTACCTGCACACACTCGGTCTATTCGACAACCATTTAGTTATTGACGCCACTCGATCTAAGACATTGTGCACACTCAAGCATTCATTTCGCTCGAATGGCCTCCTCGAATCCGTCATCTACAAACGCTTTCTGATTTGCATACGGGTTCACCTGCTGGTAAAGGGTTTCGGTCACCTTTATTAATAACCTTAAATGTTGATCAAATTGATTCTTCTTAGAATCTCGGGGTAGCTGTGCTGTGACATCACCAACTCTTCCTCCACCATAGGCGCTGACCAGTACACTGAACAGGGTCTTTAGCAAGCAAGTCTGATACCAATTTCTCAGGATAGTAGAGATAGTATTCTATAGATAGTATTTAGCCAAAAACAGGGTCGAACCAGAAACCTTGCGCGTACTATTTGATGGTATCTTTAACCACTGTCCTTCCTGCATCCTTATTTGATTAGATTTCAAAACTCATGAAGTACATGTGATACGGGTAACAACATACCAATGTAAGAAAATAAATCCAATATCTCATTTAGCCTCACCTGATCGTGGTGACTTCAAAATTTATTCTGTTATGTTGAAAGAACACAAGGAACACTTTCGATGGCGTTTCCGGAATATTTGGACGAGGAACTGATATTCAGTCTCCTAATGAGATAGAAAAACCATCTATAGAAATAATCTTTATCTGTAAATGTTTGACACACCTCGATTATGGTCAGCATATACATCCACTTTTTATATTGAATCATGAATATTGAAAATAGTAAGGCATTTCTCAACATATAATATACTTTGCCAACATAGTTAAACTCTTGAGAAAACAAAAAAAAGATAGAAAAACGAGAAACACGAAAAAAACATGGCTCCTACAAACTCTCCCTGAGTTGTGGAAATTCGAAAGAACACTTGGGAAATTTTAAAAGCGAAAGAAATCACAAAAACACGAGCCGCCAAACGATTGTGTCACAACACTGGCGAAACAGTTCAAATTACAAAAAAAAGAAAAAAACGAAAATAAAAGGAAAAATTCAGCCAGAAGTGTGACACAATCGATTCACTGAACAATATGAAGGGTAAGTAACAGGAAAAAAAGGAAAAGAAATGCACGTTATTCGACGAAATCTTGGAGGCCCTAATTAACAAGCTTTGATAAGTCGTTAAAAAACGCAAAACTCTTAAAGAAAAAAGTGTGAATAAAAATAAATCATTTTATAGATTAACGAGCGCAAAAGGAAACTGGGTCGAGTCTTTCAAAGACGATGCGGGTACGGTATTTGTCGAATAAAAGTGAACATTTATTGCAATAATGCTATTGTGAACGTGCAAACAAGGTGCGCGCGCGCGCGTAAAATGCAACAATGGCGCGAAATATTGCTACTTTTGAATAGGAATTTTAAGGAACCGATCTATTTCCCTTATTATTTTCGTCGATATAATACATTTCTGCTATTTGGTGGTAAGGTAATGATAATCACCAATGGAGTAGAAGTGTACTTTGATAGATCGAAAGCAGTTGTAGTACAAACATATTGTTGACAGAAGTGTGCACTGCTCTGGCCTATCATCGGCTCTCCATTTCTCTCAAAAAAGAAAGAACTACCAATGAGCTACTTAAGAAATTTACATAAATATATGTATATAAACTGGGATCATCATCAGAAAGACATTCGTATGGGCATTTGAATACATGAAAGCACCTACTGATACCGCTCATATGGCAAAAAACAGTATTTTAATGGTAACTGGGCTTGCTCTACGACTAATGAACCGCTCAGTGACGACGACTGTTGAGCTGAAATAAACATGAACTTTGCATCTATCGCCTATTCTTGATGCTGAGTGCTAGTGATGTCGACATCAACAAGACCAGCAAGATCACCCGCCTCAGGAATCTCGTAATCAGGCGCCAATGAGCGAACAAAGTCCTGAAGAAAACAGAACGCGATCTAGATTTTATAGGTTTTAATACATTCTTTTTTCATTATAGATCATTTACAGACAGTATTCTAAACGTTCTTATTTTGGAATAGCCTGGAAGAAACAAAATGTTGTCTATTATTGTGAAAAGTTGGACTTTTTTATATCGAAACTCCCTTGTGACAGACTTTTACATCAGCGGTTTCGAATGTGAACTCTACAATAAAATGGTTTATTCAATAATGTTCATAAACCACTTTTTTCACTAAATCAACTACTTAAAAGTCTATTTGCCTAGCATCCACATTGTACACAAAAACTCGTATCGAACCGAGGAGAGGTAAAAAGTATGCGAAAGCGTTACAACTTTGAAGCTTTAAGTCCACCACCAACATTACCGATTAGCTTGGAGACATGCTTATGGGACAGGTCCACATCTTAGAGAATTCACACATGTTAAGAAAAATTGAACAGCAGTATAAATCGATATTCATGTTCTGTATACTCGTAGAATTTCACTAATTTTATCAAATGATGGCTTCGACGCTAAACATACCAGATTCCTCACGACATTCGCCGTCACATTCCGACTGGCGAGTTGCTGAGCTCGGCGCAGCTTTTGATTCTCGCGCATCTTTGCGAGTCGTCGTGCCCTCTGCTCGGGCTTTTCGTTAAGAAGTCGACGACGTTGATAGTCGCGTAGTCGTATCAATCGTTCCTCTTTTGCAAGTGCTGCCCGTTCGTGTTCATCGCCCGATGAAGTCACATTTCGAAACTCCTTCTTACGCCTATCTAACTTATCGCCATCCAACGCGTTTCGTTGTAGACGATATCGCTCTTTCATTCGTTGAAGGCGCTGTTCACGTTGTTCGCTTGTTTCGAATAATCGCTTCAATTTCATTTTCTCTGAGATCAACTTCTTTGTACGTTCAGTACGATCCGTCTCAAACTTCAGATTATAAATCCGTTCCAATCCACCGGTTACCGTATCCACTATTAGTTGTTCGGCATCGTTTTTCGCTGAAGCATTCAGTAGTTGGATTGTGATAACATAGGATGTTAGCTCATCGATACCGAACTTCTTTTGAAGTGATGTCAAGGAATCAAATAATCCATCATATGTCAATGTTGCTACATCGACAGTTGCTGGCGATTGTGGAAAGATGTTAGACGATGTTCCAGCCCAATTTTCATTTCCATCACAACAAAACAGCAGTTGTGTTAGTAAGTTTAAGTTGAAAAGAAGCATGTCAGCTACAGCAGCATTGGTGGCAGGATCGATGACTGCCTTAATATGTTAATTATGTAGTAGAAGTAATCTCAGTTGCCGACACAAGGTTGGATCCGATGGCGAAACGAGGACGAATTGTGGGAAGTACCTCTAGTCTATTTCATTCTGCTACTGTTAGAAACAACAAAGGTAATAGGTATATGTGGTCTCTTACGATGTTCACAGAGCAGACATGCAGATATTTTAGCGTCTCCCTCTCAGTTACCGAACACATTCGTTAGATAACTGCCAGGTAAATTTCAACTAACCAAGGAGTTTCTTGTAAAAAGCGATGCATGCAGACAGTACAACACAAAAGCGAAGGTTGGCCGTTAACCAATAGTAATTTTTTCAGCAGCGACTCTTCACGAAAACGTTAAAGCATACCTTGAATTGTTCACTCTGAAGAAGGTTATTGTTGGCTCCTTCGGAAAACCAAAATCTGAAAGTGTGCTCTGACAATAAATGAAAGAAATTGCCACTAGCAGAAACACTGCGAACATGACACAGTGAAAGCCGCAGTGAAAAAAGTTATGAATGCTAAAATGTGTTGGCGAAAACGTTTCTTCAGCAAGTATAAGCTGACACCCACTTGGCGAGCGCCATGTCTCTGTCGACTTTCTTGTCATCAGATTCATCAGTTGATATGGAAGATGTCGACTGAGTCTCGCTGGTCACGACAGATCCTAAATCCGACCAGTGATGAAAACCTTCCCTATTCGATCGACAATCTTATCACCATTTCTGACGATTGTGGGACAGAACAAATTTATAGTAGCAGAAAATATACTTTTTAATGAGATTCGACTCATCCTAACTCCGATTTCCAAATCTGTTCTATTCGGAGTTTAACAATAAATAAAACAAAAAACACACCGTTCAGGTTCACGATCGTCTGTTCTTGAGGAGGTGGAGCTAAACCCATATTTGCAGCGAGCATTTGGTCGGCTGCTCGTCGAATTTCTTCAAAAGCGGTCTATAAAAAATTAACGATGCCTTATTCGGTGCAATCATGAAATTTGATAAATTAATACCAATAAAAAGTAAATTAAGACGAAAAAAAGACGCCTGTCTACTACATCTTCCAGGGTTTAAAAACATTTGAACGAACACTATTGAGAAATGAAATCATTCATGTGACACTTGTACTGACTGAAGACAGACACGATTGATAACTACGTTTCTGTGTTCCGCATAGAGGAAAAATTATCCACTAATCATATGAAATGTTTGCATTTTAAATTTTAGTAAATTTAGTAGTAAATTTACGTGGATGAAGCTGACCTGAACTGTTGGCACCCCTTCCTCTGGCTCCTCTGGTTCGTTCTCTCGCTTGGTTTTACTTTCTGCAGATCTCGGAGGTGGTACGAGCCCAACTAAGGCGGCCAACTTATCCGACATTGACATTCCATTGAACGGATCGTCCTCCACACTATAACAATGCAATAAATTGCCGATAACTAAATGCCGTTTTCTCTTTCGAATAATTAATATCTTGGATTATAGACACCACAGACTTAGAATATGGATTAGAATAACCCTTTTCACAAAACGAAGAAAAAAACTTGAATGGTCGCAGCTCGAAGTCACTTTGATTTCAACTTTTTTCTCGTATAAGAAGCGGAAAAACCACTTCCATCTAGTGATGCTGACTCTAGATTAATCCAAATACCATGGTCATAAGTTAGTATACTTCAATCTGGCTGCTTTTTACCATTCACAAGAATTCAACGTGATTCCCTTGTTCATTAAAAAACAAAAAAGACCTGATTTAGAAAAGTCAAGTAGCATTGGTACCACCTCTCTTTCTTCGTCGTAGAATCGTTGGACTGACGAGCGGCCATCGTTTGACTGATGAACTGCTGTATGAGCGGTGAGGCGCGGGGAGCAGATGGATGAGCTGAAGAATTGGCTGCGGTAAGATATGCAAAAAAAGAATGCAAAGTAAGGAAAGCAGGAAAGTTGATTTTAAAAATATTACGGTAAAACTTCAGAGAAGATCGAGTTACACAGGACCTGTACCATAGGATATCTGTTAATGCTCGCATAGCTCAAAAACTGTACACGCATATAGTCAGGATTCTTTTAAGAAGGATTTTCTAAATCACTACTGTAAAATGAACCTGCATTCGTAGCTGTGCTTGCATTTCCACCACCACGAATAAAGTCAATCAGTTCGCTTTTAATCTTATTCGGCGGCCCGGTGACGTTCTCCTCGACACGCATATCGCCCTCGAGTTTCAACACCTACAATATTGAGATCTATAATCTACCGTACTGAACAAGACCGCCCTAGCTCATATAATTCTATTTCAGAAGTCAATTTTTGACGTAAATTTCTCGAAAACAGAAAGGAATATTCGCAAGTGAAAACAGCTGCGGATTTTCCCCACCAAAGATTGTTCTACTGTAACTTCGTACACAAATACTGCAACAAAAAATCAATCTAATGCAGGAAACATCTTTCCAATAAAAAAGATTTAATTCTGGCAATAATCAAATGACAAAGACAAAGGATCAAGCTCTCGGCGTTAATCAATCCCTGAGAAATACGCCAAGCATTCTACTTCATTAAGCATCATTGGAGGTGATTGAATGCATATCTGGCCTTTACAATGACTCGCGGTGGCCTACTGTTGTATCGAGCCAGTGCTGCTATCCTCCCAGACAAGTCTGGTACCAGTTCGCCAACTCCCGATAGAAGGACGGCTTGGTTGGCTCTGAGTGCGGAGATCGATCCCATGTGTATTGTAGGACGTCTCTGCCCGCTGCTCTACACGCGCCCATATCAAATGATAAACTAATTTATCAGCGCCGATTCAAACCTCTTGATGGCAGCAAAGAACTTGCCTATAAACTGTGTTCTATTAAAAACTTTCAAAACTTTCTAAAGAAAATTGTCAACGTTTATATTCTGAGAACTTAAGATTGTATCGGGATAAAACTGAAACCAATTGAGAAAAATTTCGATAGTGCATCTATTCCATCCCTCTCTGAAAACATCCGCGAACAATTTTATGTGGTAAAAACGCAGATTTCTAACATTTCTTCACTTTTTTGTTTATAACACCTCTTTACGTATTGTGCAAACCTCAGCATTTCTTTGATTCCATTCTTTCCATCCTCGACAGAAGTCTTCGGATTTGCGCAATCATTCTGCTGATTCTTGAGGACTTTTTTCTATTTTAGATTTTGCCGTATTCATACTCCTTAGATTCATACGACATCGTTCGCAGGTCTTCACCACAAGGAGTTTTCAACAGACACTCTGGTACCAATATTCCTGCTCAAGAGGACGCGAAGCTTGGTAGGCCCGAAACGTGACTGACTCAACGACCATGAGTGTGTTGCACAAATTTCTAACCGCTGCCCTTCCCGTGCTCCATATTGTAAACCTCTATCAAAAGGTTTATGATATTATTTCGACACTAACTTCCGTCTCCTAGGTGCAGAAAGCACGGCAACTTCATCATTCCAGTTTCTGAATCCTTGCTAGGCAATAGTATCGTTGAAAGAGTCCGGTCATAAGCGTGAATCATCATTGCGTGGCTTCCTATTTCTCAATAAAGGTTTCTGCACTTTTAATTTTAACTCTCGAACAATTTGACACAATTATATAGTTGTTCAGTCATTCATTCGCTTCACTTTTCGTTCGCATACAACACAATGCCGTTATCAATGCAAGTATCATTCACGCAGTGTGCGAGCAGTGAGTGTTGCACTCATTCAACTAGAAGCAGACCATAAAAATTGATAAAATGTGATATGATACTTGTGATATCATGCACTGCACAGCCAACGTTGACTAGAACACTAACGATCGGCTGCGTTTACATTATTCTATAGCCTAAAAATTAATACTTATGATTTGTATTGCGAACAGCTGACTCGACTACAAAACGAAACATACCAAAGCCGGCTGTTATTATTATACGAAAGTACAGTAGAGCTGTCATATGCTTTCGAATTTGAACTTTAGACAGCAAACACATCTACTTGAGGCAGCAAATAATTCCAAAATGTGCTGATATGGAATTTGGTACGGTATGTTTATCATTATAACTGACTGAATCATATAAATGATATCGGTTTCTGAAGACGAACCATTACGCCTACGTCGATTGATTTGATCGAATCGATCATAGTCGAAAAGAACAACACCACTAATCGATCACTGCAGGTGAGTCTCAAGTAAAGAACTCACCCTTTCATAGTCGTCTTTGTGATGAGCTTTTAGGTGCATTTTTAAGTTTGTACTAAATGCTGAACCGGTACGGAAGCTACAGTTGATACATCCGACCATCTAAAACATTAAAATCAAATAATTTAGACGGGAATAATGTAGGGTATACTTATAAGAAAGAACTAGAAGGTGATGAACCTGGATAAACACCATCCAGCTATTTTTTCATGAAAACCAAAAGAGACGATTTCCCATCAGTTATAAAAAGCGTTTGAAAAAATAACGCCTTGGAGCAAATTTCATAAACACCATAAACTAACAAGACCGAGTTTCTGTTGATCTCGGCATGTATAAAGAAATAGCTAATTTCCTGATCAGCACAGGCGAGGTTGTTGTTATATATTATTCATTCACAACAGCTAACGTTTATGCAGATTTCGCTCTTCAGAGCTTGGAAAGATCAAGTTAACTACAACCTAGCCCATAAACACTTCTACAACCACCGCAGAAAAACAGTGGCACCTAGTCTTAATCGCGCTGGAAAAAATACAACTTTTTCAGACACTCACAGCTCTCTATGATTATTCCAAAAAGCCTTCGAGATGATAACGAGCCATGAATGTTCATATGGATATGTTACGCACCCACTCACGTTAAAATATGAGTCTAAAATATTATGCGAATGCGAATATTATTTCGATTCTTGGAATTTATCCAGAATGTTTTGATACTTCTACTCGCCAAAGTTTCTGATTCCTGTGCGAGGATGGTAACTTCGACTTTAAAATCCTCTCCGTTATCTTCCTGTCTCCTATGCCCGCTCAGTGGAGTGCTTGGTTTAACTTAAGTTTATCTACAAGATGCTCTTTTAAACAGAAGCAAAGTAGTCTACCCTTCCGCCAATGTATTCGGCCCCATATGCTTTACAACAGATCGGGTAAACTGTACCCGAACTCATGCAATCACTGTCACCACAGCCAGGGCATAATATGCAATTTATGGCGACTTAGAATGTTCGGTGGCAATTTAGTCACTGCTATCGATTTCTCCATACCGGTCGGCCCTTTCTAACGTTCCACAGATGTGTTTACTTGGTTTAAAATGAAGAGCAGGATAAGCAGGACCTTATTCTCGCTAAACTTGTCTTTTGGGAGATTTGTTCTTCCTCTAAACCTATCCCAAGAAGCGCTACCGTTTTGTAGCCTTTGGGAACAGATATTTGCCACGCCAGTTTAAAAGATTCTTCCTTCAGCACTTCCTGCTCTTCTTCTTCAACTACATTAGAGAGTTGAACGATTAGGAAAAATTCCTTTGAAAGAAAACCTTTCAAGCTAATGAACTAAGAAAGAAAACCATGAAATAATTAACAATTCATAAAATGTTTAGGTGATATCCAAATTTTTTTTGTTGTGAAAAAAAGATGACACTCAAAAAAGTCTCGTGCAGTTGCGTCAAATTGCGCTTTTACGGATTTCTACACGGAGTACTCTTCGACCGCCTAAGTTTGGAGTAACGTAGTCCAGCGCACTAGACCAATACTCGTGAGTAAACACTCGTTAGTTCGACTTCACATATATGTCAAGCACAATAATTCGCCTCTGTAACTGGGTTATATAATCGCTCCGAATTTTCTATGGAGATAAAATTTTTATGCTACCCATGTGTGACAGGAAAGCTGCATATGAACAACACAAGAAAGGTGCTACATATTCTACCGCAAGGTGTGATCCGTCAGTAATTAACTCGAAGAGTTAACATGTCCTTTCACAAATATAAGGGTTTGACATATTTTCGCGTCATTAGCGATCATTGTAAAACTCAGTTTCCAGTTTTAGCCCAAAACTCAACAAAAACACAGGTTACACTGTAAATCTAAAAATAACTCGCGGTTTCCTAGTTTTGCTGCCTCCCCGAAAAGTGTCATGTACGCATTCCAAAAGTGAAAGGAAACGAACTTCACGGGAAAAAATATCATAGAAAAAGAAGAAATTCAAAACGAGAACGCACGCGGTCTTCGAGATCCTTGAAGAACATCCACACCGGGTGACGACGTAAACGTCGACGCTTCGGTTGTGGCATACCGTTAGCGTCAGTGCCATGAGGTGCTGAAGGTATGTCTGAAAAAATCCTTATTTATTTTGAATGCTTTGAATGCTGCGTACAACTTTTGAAGCTATTTGCAGTCCATTTAGACGACCGGTAACCATTCCTCACATGTAAATTGAATATTTATACAGATTTTGAATGCTCCAGGTTTATAACTGTGCTGAAATGTTTGAACACAGTTGTTTGGATGCTGCAGTGTTCTACAGACGACTGAACGATCACAACCGCTACGGCAGTCTCCCATCTCCGAATTGACTCATACGCTGCCACGAAGACCATCTCCAGAGTCTGGTCCAATAATCATAAAAGTTTAAGAATTAAAGGGCTCGGCGTGGATCTGTATTCTTAGAAAACGCCATGAATTCGATTCCAATAAGCATCATAGAACTGACTGAATGCATAAATTTCCTAAAAAACGACTTATAGAGGTCAACCATCGTATCACATTAGTGTTTTCATCCATTAAGAAAACTTTGATACAAATTTGTCGGTAGAGAATAGATTAAAGACCTGGCTAGCTAGAATCGCGTGGTCGAACAAAAGACAATGGGCGCGGGAATGTATTTTGCAGGGCATCTCTAACTGCTACGCTATACATATACTTCAAACAACTATGTGGGCCATAAAAGTTTAGTTTGCCTAATCACATAAGAAAACCTGTCCTTTCACGCTGACTCCTTCAGTAAAAAATAAAAGGATACAGCTCTCGGCGTTGATCAATCCCTGAGGGATACCCCATGTATTGGACTTCACTAGGCATCGTTGGAAGTGATTGAATGCATATCTGGCCTTTACAATGACTCGCGGTTGCCTATTGATGTATCGAACCAGTGCTGCTATCCTCCAAATAAGTCTGGTACCAATTTGCAGACCCCGGAGGGATAGAAGGCTTGGCGGGCCATAGGCGCGGGAATCGATTCTGAGCGCTGCAGGGCGCCTCCGACCACTACGCCATACGCGCCCTGCTTTCAGATAAGAAGTGAATTTTCTTTCTACTGAAAAAAGTTCATCAATATTACCTCGTCTTTTACTGCTACTAGAGAATTTTACCACAATATCCAATCGTTGCCTGCAGTAAGATGACTTTTCTGATATTTTAATTTTTTTACGACCCATCTTCACGTCTACTGAGCGGATCCCAGAATTTCCCACATTCGATTCGTTTCCTCGCATTCACCATCCACTAAGCTCTTCCAACCTTTGTGTGAATAGCGACCTGACATACTTCAACTCGTAACCACTTTAATCATCCGAGGATTCCAGGAATCATCACTAAAGTACTAAAGTATCCAATAGCTTCTACCATGTTTAAAAAAATGGCTTGCCAACTCCTTCTTTGTAGATGACAATGACAGCAAACAAGACTTTTTCCAAGAGATTTCTTTTTGCTACTGTTTTTGAATGAAAAAGGGCAGCAACGTACACGTAGTTGGATACATGTATTCTACAATATACGTTTAGTCACTGGTACGACCTTGCAGCTTGTTTCCTAAGATCTCTGTCTCTCTAGGGTTCGGAAGTCGCTATTAGATTTGTTTGAAAGCAATAAAAACACTGGTTTGATACATCGGTAAAACTCTACAAGCAACTGAGCAGCTTAAATATGCATTCAGTCACCAATACAATATTATAAATAGAGTGAAATGCACGATGCATTGCTAGGTTGCCACAGTTGTCTGGAACTCCTGTGGAGTGGTAGCGCTGAGTAAGCAGAGTAAGCAGACCTTGTATTTAGCAGTATCAATCAAATGTGTGGCACAGAGGAAGCGAACCTCGTGAACCACCTGTTGCGTCTAATAAAAAGGTCGTCTAATGGTCGTTCTACGTGTGTGCGTTTAATTTGTTTTTGCCAACGAGGAACACGCTACATAGCCTCGTGACTAATGGAGTCGATAGCCACCGAGAAGGTCAACTTCGAAAGAAGAATTCCCTTCGCCACAATGAAGGAAAAGTGGCAACACCGAAATTCTTCCAGGAAAGTGTAAACTACACCTTTACGATGTGCTATCTAGGACTACTTGACTCAGACGTAGGAAAAACAAAGCATCGAAACTTTAGAGGACTAATCCAGTTTCGCTGTTATGAGCAAACCGCAACCAAAGCGACTCTTAACAAGGTTTTTGAGTGTTTTTGAACTTCAACACACCACAAACCAAATAGTCAAAAGAGGTGACTAACCGTAATTTTAAGCACTCTTTAAGAATAGAAAAACATTCTATTACTTTAAATTTAAAACAGATGCTCTACTAGGCGCACATGGGACGCAGCTACATAACAACGAAGAATTTAAAGCAGAAATGACCACTTAGCAAAGGAATCGAAACTTTATGCGTAAAACTTTCGAAATATTCTGGATAAATTTCAAGGATCCGAAAATGAACCACAGGGAGATATGCCTCGTTATCACGCGTGTACTCATACAATATTTAAGACATATTTCAATGCGAAAGAGGTTTGTTACCCATCTAAGGGGATTTCGTGCGGTTGACCTAAAAGTGGACAACTCACTGGAAGCCTCATAGAAAAGCTCTGGATGTGTGAAGAAGTAGTTTCGATTACGATGTGATTAGAGTTTATGGGGTATGGTTTCTCTATTTAGGTCATGGAGGTGCTTAGTTGAGCAGGTTGCAATTAAATTGACCTTTCCAGGCTATGAAGAAGGCTAAGTCTGCCGAAAGTCGAAGAGTACTTTGCTCAAAAAAAACACTAGCTCTTTTAATTAAAGGTTATGGTAAACTTGAAAAAGGAAAGAAATTCCACAAAGGAATACCTTTCTTCAGAAGCCCGATTTTACTTTTCATATATCTGCTTCCATTCTGGTAGACAAGAATTAGAGAATTAGCAAAATGAAATGGGAGGGAACAATTACTATAATATAAAAAAACAGCCTGGATTTTAAATATCTTCCTCTTTGAAAAAAACAGCAACAATGAAATTAATCCTTAACGTCTCGCTATCATAAAAACCCACCTCTCTTGATCTGATTGAGAAAACTTAGGTGACTAGTGAATTGTTCTGGCATCATACTGAGAAATTCTGCAAGAACTAGAATAAGAAAAATGATAAAATGAAACAAAGACAAAATCTGAAACAACATCAGTCAGTAACTATGTTTGATATATTGAATACTTGACACTGAAAACTTATGAACGTAATGATAAAATGTTTGCATTGTAATCAGAGACAAGTTATCAGAAGAAATTGTTTCCTTCCCCACTGATCCATGAACCGCACAACTAATCAGATCTAAGGCAAATATTAATTCATGCAAAAAATCGATATGGTGTGACTATTCTTAAACTTTAACCTTAAACCAATTAACCACCATAGATGCAAATTAAATTCAAAACGAAACGTAGAAGGAAACCAATCCATTTTCAGATCAACTGTAAAGAGTGAACAAGAATTGCCTCATTGACTTCATAGGTGTTAAACGTTTACAACTACAAAAAAAAGCTTTTAAAAAATATGATTTGAACGTACGGTGAGGTACGCTGTTCAGTTGATTCCGTGCCATCTGATTCAATACCGCCAGATTGGCCGCGTTCAACGCCATCGGTAGTTGTTGTTGTTGTTTTTGTTGTTGTTGTTGGTGCTGCTGCTGTTGCTGTTGCTGCTGCTGTTGTTGTTGCTGTTGCTGCTGCTGCTGCTGTTGCTGTCTTTGTTGCGCATGAACCTAAAAAGAAATTCCCCAGGATCCAAGTAATTATTTGCGACACTTTTTGACTATGCAAGTAGGAATCAACAACTGTATAAGATAGTTCGAACTTTTAATACAACCCACAGTTGAATGGACTTTGCTAATTAACCTGTAACTGATGTTGTACTTGTTGTAGTTGTTGATTCAGAGTGCCGGCAGCTAACGTTTGCCGTAACACGCTGTTTAACGGGTTGTCGTCGGCCGCCGATTGATTCGCCACTAAAAATGGTTAAGCTTAGTGATAAAGTCGAATCGATTCTTTTTACATAATCATCTTTTCAGAGAAAAAACAAAACCATACTGCTCAACTCCTTAAAAAAATGTTTTCCTGTATATACACCTAGGCACATGAGTTTTTGCAAAATTCTTTTGATACTATTCGTTAAAAACATCGAACGCGTCCAAATCCATTTTGTTCAAGGACACTGAAATGTTGTGTCGATGTTTAGCTTCGCTCAGAAACAACAAAAACAAAAATACTCAGCTAAATATACTCTACTAGGACCATGTATTTTTTTCTTCCAGTGAAAAAAGCATATCAGGACATCTTAGATAGAACATTTGTAACTTGTAACTATCGAAACTTTTCTCTTCATTCACTGTCTTTCACGACTGCACTCTTTAAGCTCAGTCGACAAACTATCATAAGCTTCAGCTAGATTCCTCTTTGAATAACATCTTCCGTTAACATCACGTTCAGACGAGTACTGTAGCTGGTATGTAGACTAATTGGCCCATCCCTTCGTGGAATTGGGTCTGATAGTCCTGTTGACGTTGACGTTGGACGTGAACATCGTACACTCGGTGCGTCGTTGTATAGCACATAAGGCAAACATTGAAGCTTTGATACAATATGAAACGAAGATTGTGCAAATATGACAAATATTCCAAGTTGAGAAACATTTCACTAAGAAGAACTCTTTTCTTCTCTTTTTTTTTCCCATTTTAAGAAGAAATTTTTATTACTTGAAATCAGTTAAAAGTTGAGAAATGTGAAGAGTACCAGTTAAAAATCTAACTACTGGAGAAAGTGTGCAAAAGTGCATGAGGTGAACAATCGAGTTGTACCATTCTTTCTTAAGGAACAAATGTTACGAGCTGTTCTTGCACCATAAAATACCTCCCTTGAGAAGACACTCGCACTGTTCATATGAAGGTCTTCTTAGTGTTGATCATCTTCACCAAACCATTAAAGAAAAAGCCAAAGGTAAATTTTGCTAATGACACTATCTTCAATATTTACTAAAGGAGTGTAGAATAGAATGTTTATAGCATGGTTTCTCACTGAAACATTGTCCAAATATTGGAACTAATCAAAACACTTCCATGATTCTCGACAGCTAAGCAAATAAGAAATGGATTTTGGATTTCAGATTTGCAAATATTTAGTGTAACATGGCAGCTGCGATCCATAATGAATTTGTCATTGACTCTTTACGAATCTAAGCCATAGGGTTGAAACACCAGGAAACACAATTTGAAAAGTCTTAACTTCCCACAATTCTTCCCTCATCTTCCCTCTAACTGATAGTCCGCGCTGCCTCATTTTGACGATAAAGCATGCCAGTGACAAGGAGTTGGACATTTTCGTTCGGAGTCCAAACTAAGAATAAACCGCTGCTGGAAAACATCGTTATCCAGGAGCGGTATAAAGTCATACGACTGAAAAGTTTCACTCGTTTAATAATTTTACAACTGCTGGCGACTGCCTTTACAACCTATGAACACCTTGGAACACGACTATCTCAGGATTCTAGGAAAAAATGAATCCAACTGGCAAAATAACAGTCAACACGGCTGTTCATCGCGGAGATGTAAAAAATCTCAAGAATAGCAAAAAAAAAAGTTTAAAATTCCAATATTCATCGAGAGAAGTGAAAATTCATGAAAGATATTGTGCCAAACACCGAAAGCGCAAAAGAGGGAGATTTTTCGCTGACATAAATTTAGCCTCATGAGAAAAAACTTGGATATATTTGGCAGTATTAGTAAGAAAAAATGTCTCCATGTACTACAGTAAGGTTTTGGTGAAGTTTAGACGCATATGCAGTTTGATAAGATAAAGTTTTTAATATGATTTCTGTTTCTCAAAGAGAAAGCACAAATAGTTTAAGACTTTCAGAAGCGAAGTTTCTCTCAAAACTATAGAAGAACATTGATGAACTCATGCTTAAGAACCAGCTGCGTTCAAGCTTGTAATTTTCGGTCTGTTCAAGACTTCTCCACAGTAGTTAGAATTAGCTAATTTGCAATGAAAAACGTAATTTGTCGACTGTTAAGATCCCTGGAAATCTTTGTGAGCATCACTTTTAACAAATTGCGTTGAATGATCGACAATTTTCATCTTTAAAAATATCTGGTAGAGCGTTCGATATTCTCATAGCAAATAACGTTAGAAGCTTACTCAATAAAGTAGTCGTCACTGGAGAAAGGACGTACAGTTGGAGATGATGAAGAGCAAGTTGCAGAAGAACACCGCGTGCGTCCGATAGAACGTTATCTTATAGAAATGATACACACTACAACCACACACATACACACACACTCACTCGAATACACACACATCCATACATACATGCATACGTACTTACATACATACATACATACATACATAGATACATACATATGTACATACATACATACATACACACATACATACATACATACACACCAAGCAATACTTTTTATCATCACGTGACGCAAAGTGCATTCACATACCGTCTGCCCTTCAGCACCACACACTGCATTACGATAAAAACAAGACGAATTTACTCTCAAAAGAGTTAGTGGTTAAACACGGGCATGAGCCCTCAAGTCTTCACGTGTTCAGCATCACGTCACTGAATCGGTGGTCAACGAGAGAGTACAACCGAATGATGTACAAGTGTGTGTATGTTTATGTAACTTTTCAAATTCAGTGAAAATATAGGATTAAATTTCTGTTTAAACCATTCATTACACATCAGTTATATTCGCTTATTATAGATTTATGAAAAGCGGATAGCGCAATGGCTAGAGATGTCATTCAATAATAGGCGCATAGTCGACACCACCAAGCGCCGAGAAACCTTTAACGGAATTATCTGCGAAAAAACTTCCTTTTGATCTAAGACCAATGACTAACTGTGGTGAAGATTTGTCAACGCTCCCTAAGAGCTACCCCGATAATACAAGCAAGATCAACGAGACCCAACCGCAAATTTGAGGACGGTCGTGGATGACAGATGAGATGCTAGGAACTGAATGAAACAAATGAAAAATTTATTGGTGTGACCCATGATCACATAAATCTCAATATCTTTTCCATTCTATTCGTTTTCACGCAAACCCTGCTCATAAAAGCCTTCGGATTTGCACGTGGGTTCCGCTACCACGTGAGAAATTAGTTTTCTTCATGAACTTCGCTGAACGCTATTAAGTTGACACTCACTCAAATAGTAGGGCAGCTCTACTATACTTTCTCTCGATTATTAACAAGGACAGTTGACTTTTTTAGATGGCAAAAGCTAATCCTAGACAGGTGTGATACTAAATTGTTTTCGCAAAAGGTATGCTGACAGGCTCGGTGCGGGATCGCACCAATATGTTATTATTACACGGAAACTCTAACCATAGCGCTTTCCGCACCCTTCACCATACTACCAATTATTCACGATTGATACAAAACTCTCTAGAAGTTCAGATACAGCTCAATTAATTGACTGTTTGCGGTATTTTCTTTCAGCGATTTAGGTCCAGTTGAGCTTTAACTTAGCAATATTTTGATTTCATATCTACCGTAATGAAAATCCTTATGAAAAAGTTTCAACTGCATAGGACCACCATCGAATTATCTGAATAAAGATCACGAAGTACTTACATTTATTTATCGTCATTAATATACTGCTTGTCATTGGCGGCATCCGTTTACGCGTCAGATCCGTGGAGAACAACTTACTCGAGTTGCCGCTAAGAAGTAAAGCGTTCAGGTTCAAAGCATCTTCAGCTTGAATGACCTAAAAATGGTCGACAACGTATTTGTCTTTGCAGAAAATAGAGAAAAAATAAAATAATATCTGTAATCTCTCAAAAGGTCCCAAGAAATTCTGGTTACATTCATCAACCTCTTAAAAGAGCAAGTGGTCAACGGACACACTGTGTGATATAGCTCTCATCATAGACTACTCTCACATTAATAGAAAAGTTTTAGTTGCATAAAAACATTGTAACAAATAAACACCTCCGCTTTGAATAAAAGGCTAGAAAAAAGCTCAAAACTAAGATAGAGTTGCCATAAATGCTTTTTTTTAAACGGAGAACTGCAGAAAGACTGCAAAAGACCTGCTGTGTTCTACGAATGATAAACTCGACAGAGATGTTCCGTTTACTTACTTCTCTTAATTCTTTGCTTCCCACTTGAAGCCGGTTATAAGAGGATTTTTAAAAGCTTTTGTGATTAAACACCGAACTTGTAAAAAAAGGTTACTACTCCCTAAACTTCAAATTCAAAAAAAAGCCGGTACGAACCTTTTCGTAATCAGCTCGATGGTGTGATCGTAGATGCACTTTTAAATTCGTACTGAACACCGATTTAGTGCTGTACAAACATTGTTTGCATCGCGCTGTACCATCAACAACATCGAAATACGGCCATACTGGATTCCTAAAAGTACGTAATCAATTAATTCATTACTTTACTCTTGCACTAAAACATAGCTGCGATCTAAAAAGCCACTATTCTCTTCAATCTTTTCTTTTCCGATAGAATGTTTCCCATTTACCTACTAAGAGTTGTTGCAGACTTTCCTGCCGCATCTCTTCCGCTATCGAAGATTCCTAGCTGCGATGTGACCAGTTATGAGTTCGCGCGTGGTTTACGCATACGATTTAAAAAATACCATTCAAATCATACTGAATACTGCAAACGCAATTCCTACCCATACTTGCTTTGTTATAGAGCTGAGAAAAATCGATTTTTGAAGATAAGTTCTTATTCGCTTATTTACGATAGGCAACATTCATCGCAAAAATCTGCCTAGCCACATACCTCCGCTGTCGTTTCCGTTTCGTTGGCGTGATATCGTGGGTGGGTGTTTGACTGAGGGAAGCTGCCAAAGAGGTGGCCGATGGTTGTGTCGGCATACCGGGAATCATACAACTGGCTAATTTCTGGGCTAAGAGTGGATTGTTGTGCAGAGAGCTGAGGAGACTCAACGTTGGCTTTTTGTCGACATCATCGTTGAATGATTGTAGACGAAGAATTTCTATAGAACAGAACCTTCCTTTCTTTCATGAAAACGCATCAAAAAGAAAGCACAAATCGGTCAAAAGAAGTTCATTAAATGGAATAAATTGGAAATATAAAGTCCATATTTCAATAATCAGAAAAAGTTTTTGTTGAAATGGATGTTTTAAAGTAAACATTTGCTCTGTCATGGATTTCCATCATTCGAGGGATCACGAACTGGTTAGTGACGAGTCTACCTAGCTCGTGCTCAGATGACGGAGCTGGAGTTAAATATGCATTAAGGGAGACTTGGCAGGATTCAGGTCCCTGAGGCGATGAAATGACTTGTAGGTTCACGTTTAATGTACACGTTGGAATATTTCCTACTAACATTTGTGTTTCTAGATGCAGTTGATTGTGTTCCGCACTGCCTTATGCCCAAGAGCACAAAATTGAGCGAGCAGTATTTACATAGAAGACAGTTAGCATTAACCTCTACTAAGTAAACCCAAAATCCAATCCACCATGAGGAACTAACAAGCAACTCATGGATGTCTCGTTGTCAAAAAGAGAACAAGTAAAGGAAATGAAGTGGAAACACGTGATGCTGCTGGTGGAGAGATCAACTACTAGGTAGTTTTGAGGTAGAACAACGATTTTACTAGTGATTAATCAAGTGCCTTAATAGCTAAGGTAATTGCTAATGAAATGGAAAGAAAAATCCCTCCATGAACTAACTGTTCGCTTCTACAAGGACAACTAAACTGAAGTTTCATAATGAACTTTAGCGAGCGAAAAAGCTTCAAGCACATCCCATAATGAATAAAACGATTACAAGTGATTAATTTGGCCACCAAAAAATAAAACCGTTCGTTATCAAAAAAAGCTAAAAATTACGTCGTTGAAGTTCTGCATCTTCAGTTGATATCGTCTTCAAACCTAGCAGATTCGGTTCACCGGAAGAAGTAGAAACACAGTCCGGTGATTGATCCCGGTCAGAACCTAAAGAGGAAGAGCAAGGAGGAACTAATCGGTTTAAGGAAGAAGACAGATGCCTGCCAATCGTAAACTCTAACCAGAGTGCAAAAAAACACTTACCAATTCCATTGTCGGGAGAAAAATCATTCGATACACTAAAATCGACATTCATCTGATCTGAGGACGGCGTTTCAGTTCGCTGATCCATGCATGATTCTGGAGTCGAGTACTGCATCTGCTCGGTGCCTGCTTGGGAATATGGTGGAGAAGAGTTCGTGTTCGACAGGACATCTCCATTCTGAAGTGGATCTCTATCATTCGCTAGAATTTAAGTGTATGCCTCTAACAAAAAAAAAACAGAAAAGCTCGATTTTTGCAGTCTGCATTTGAACGAACTGTCAAAGCAATATGTTTTAATATGTGGTCCTGAGTAGAATTTTTGAACTCTTTTAAAGCTTCTTGACAGATCTATGGCTCCGTGCCAACACAGTTAACGACATGTGACACATCGGGCTGAATGGCTAGCTCTCAACTTCTCTCAAGTATTTACATGGACTTATTTATGACAAAGAGAGTGTAAAAAATTCACAGTATATAGAAAATTACCCGAAGAAGCAAAAAAAAAACTCATCAGGCTAGCGTACGCCCAAAAAGACATATCACTGGAGATAAGAAATAGAAAGGAAAGCTTTGAAAAAAAAACCGCTATGACGTAGATAAACCTGTAAAAGCACTCATTAGTCAGAATTTTTGTTACTGGGAAGATCGAAGTAAAAAATGATTAACTTGTTAAGTTTCAAAAAATATGACTTCAGAAAACATTGACTAGGCACCCATTTGCAGACGAGCTTCAATCCGACAGTTGTCTTGTCTGCTTGCCTGCCTGTTGGTCTTTTTTCAAACAAAAGAAAAAACATCAACGGAAAGTGAATCATAGAAGGATTGTATAATAAGAAACTCAACAAATAAAAGCATGAATGAGTCAGATTTAAAACGTTCCTATTCTCTGTAGGTGGGACAACTGTTACAATCCTTTTTCGAGAGCTATAAGAGTCTAACTGTGAAAGAACCAATTCTAGAACTCTTCGTTAGTTACTGTCTAAAAAACTTCAAGGTGCCACAAATATAATAAATTCCAAATGATTACACACAACTTAGGAAGGGATGAATATTGGGTATTTGAGCTTGAGCTTCGCTAAATCGGAATATTTCCAAGGAGATTAGCACAAGCTACTACAATAAATGGTACACCGTATTACTAAAAATTTGTCCAGAGCGTAAAAAACAAAAATAGCTGAAAGCACTTGGAATTCGGATTACAAATGTAATCGCCTTTTAAGCCCGTCATGGAAAAGCTGAATTTCATTTTCGATAGAGTTAAAAACCTCTTCTAATTCTGAGAATGTTGATGAATTATCACAAACGTTTTGTTGAAACGCTGCCGCAAGTTGTGCAGGTTGTAGAAGGGCAGCAAACGGGTTCAAGCAGTCTGACATAGCACTCGTCGCCGCATGCAGAGGCCGCTATGCTATCTGAAAACTCGTACAATTATGGACGAGTTTACACTAATATAATGGACGATGAGCAAACATGAACGCAAAAAAAAGAATACCGAGAAGCGAAAACGTAATGCAAAAGAAACGCGATAACTATCAAAATCTAGCAAGGTAGTAAAACAGAACGGAAAGGCAAAGTAAAAGGAGAAAAAATGAGGTGGAGAAAAGCGTCCCCGAAAATAGCATCACTATTGAGGGATGAAATGCTAAACAGGTGTTACGGTCACTAGATCGACATTACCCTAGACAAACAGACACGTTTACAAAATTCCGTGGTTTACAGTTATTTAATTAATAAAACTAAACAAATAACACTGGCCCGCTCATCGACCGAAGTACATAGTTTCGTAAGCGAAGTCCAAGCCACCTCTTCTGGTAGCACTGGATGTGAGGTATGGATATAAAAATATGGATACACACCGATGTCGATGCACAGACGCTTAAAAATTCAGCCCACAAAGTTTAGGCAGTCGCCTCCCAGCTCCTAATGAACCTCAGCAAGTGAAATAAAAATCGATAGATTTCACAGATTCGTGACAATTTTATTTAGGTTTCCATATTGCATCAAATGAGATTCTGAATTTTCGATGTTTGGAAAACGTTTTTTTTTTTCGTACAACAAAAGAGTTCTTTCTTCAACGAGGATATGACGATGTGCCCGAAAGCGTATTCAGTGCAGGCAGTTATCGCGCTTTATTGAAAAAGAAAACATAAACAAAAAACTGCATTTACAGGAAAAAAGTTATATTTACTGAATAAAAATTCCTTCCTATAGAAAATATTTCTTATCAAACTTAATTACATCAGAAGAAAAAAGCTGTAGGAACTGAGTTGCGAAGGAAAAGAACGTATGATTCACTACGTTCAACTAACAATAATAACGCTAACAATAACAACAATAGCAGCAAGAATAATAATAATGATGACCATAATAACAATAATAATAATAATTAATAAATAATAATAGTAACAAAAATAGTAACACTTTTTGTTGCAGGATAGATCATCGCCAAGAAGTTATCAATAATAAAAATTTGTAATATTGTCGTGTAAGCTTCTCCATAAAGTAAAACACTGTTTATCCATGGCAAAATTCACTAAAAGTCGGCACTTATATACCACCAAGAAATCTAGTATTTTGCATAGAAAACTGATAAGCGAAAGCCCAGCATAGAAAAGAAAAGAGGACGGCGATATTAACTCCCTCCTTCAGGATGCTTTCATCCATTCTTCGATGAGATTCTGAGGTCCTAAAGAGTTCAACAACACTCTTCGGACTATCGAGCCGAATCAATACGGCTCTGAAGATGTCGAAATCGAGGAGACGTCATCCACTCATGGACAGAACTAAGAGACATCGATAATTCGGCAAATCTGAAAGGCCGAATTCTCTCTCTCTCTCCTTGAAAAGTTCTAATATCACTTCCAACTCTGAATTCGCAACGGTGGAATCTTCTGGAAATCTGTTAATCCTATTACACGGCTTTCTAAGTTTGGTTGGTTTCCTACGAATAAAAACCTTTGAGGAACCATATTTTAGTGTGTCATGTGATTTTTGAAATCTCTGACTTACGTAGGACATTATCGGATATTAATATTTTCCAACATTTTCCTAAATAAACCTTTTCAAAGAAAAAATTCTAATTTCGACATCAATCAAAACAGGCTTCTCACAAACGTTGAGAATCGGACAAAATGAGTGTTTGAAGGAAAAAGATCAGGGATCTAGGCCAAGAAGAAATTAAGTTCGACCAACCCAAGAAAAAACTACTGACGAATTCAATAAAAGATTTATGAAAAAATGAGCAAAACAGAAATCGATAACTCGGAAATCGACTTTATTAGACGTCTATTAAATCCGAGCAAAATGAAACACTCTATGAGACATAAAAACACTTTCTTATTTTGTTTTTTATCACTAAATTTATAGTGCTCCATAGTTTGGGTTGCTCGTATGCTTAGTACCACACTCATTGGACAAGTCAGTGCTTTATCTCTCGCAAATGAGATCTACAAATTCATGGTCCTCAGAGAATTGAAGGAGGAGTTGATTAGGATGGACTTAAGTGGAACTTAAGATCGTTTTCACAGCATCGACTCTTCGCTCTCTTTAGTTCAATTATGTTTCAAAAAAATGGAGCAACGAATGGAAAACCAACAGTGACACTATTTAAGAAGAAAACAACACCTGTATAGAAAAATTTCAAACCCTAGAATCGACTTCTGCTTAATCTTGGCAATAATAAGTTAAGAAAGTTTAGGCACAGAAAACGTCAATCGGAGTCAAATCAGTGGCATTATGGGTCAACTTTAGGTCCCAGGACTTCAAAATTTTGGGACGTTCGGCGTAAAAAAAGACAGAAAAAAAGAACGCAGGGTTTCACAACTAGCAGATAACCTATTAAATTTGAGGAGTTCGGTTGGATTCATGGATTTCATCATACTCAATTCTTCATCGCACCACATAACTGACATTCAACTGTTAGTCAGAGCTATCCGTGTCGAACGGGGACGAACGCACTCGGGGTTCATAGCTGTCATCCGGAGCCAGCCGTGCCCAGACAGTACTCTAAAAGGTTCTCATTGTCGTGTAAACTACACATTTCCGACATACATCTCGTCATTGTCTCGTTCTCATATCACTCCACATTTTGCATGTTCTTCAGATGAAGTCAGATGTCTGTCGTCTCTATTTCAGTTTACTTTCACGGCGAGTCAACAAAATGACAAATACAAACACATAATCGTACTAATCGTCTCGAGACTTGCGCCCGCACGGGCGCGGGCTCATTCGCCCTGTCGTGCGCGCGACCCACCGAGACGGAAGGTGGACGACAGTGCTGCTCTAAGACTTCTGAAGTGAAACTGACCCTAAGCGATCTATATATTAAAAGTACAAAGGGTCATAGCTAAGGATCAAAGATCATATGTTTGTCACGATATTCGAGCGATCCTTTCTAAATGTTTTGTATGTGAGCTGATTCTTCATTTAATAATACAACAGAAGTGAATAAAAATCCGAGCTCAAATGCGAGAACCACAGGTAAGCTCCGTCCATTTCCGAGTGACTCTACCCACTTCACCTAGATAATGGTATTATTCTATCCAGATGAAATTTGTTTCACTTAAGTACAACAAAACAAGGTAGTATGAAATGCTGAGATATTTGCAAAACTCCGGACCACAGGTGTATGCAGTGGAG